TCAGAAATAGAGTCTTGTAACCAAGTCTCTGTGATGCAAATAATGTCATAAGTTAAATCTAAAACCGAAATTGAAAGTTGGCTTAGTTTGTTTCGAATACTCCGTGTATTTTGATAATATAAAGAAGTATATGAAATGTTGGGCTTTACGATTTTAAATGATTGGATACTTTTATAATGCGCGGAATACCTTTGACGAACTTAATTTGAAGATCGCTCTCCCCTTCAGCTTCTCTACGTTGTAACTCTTGCTTCACATTCCGAAAATATGCATTTTGTTTCGGGGTTTTGTCAGAGGATACCTTTACATTATGAAAACTCTGACTGTTCTGTATTCTGTTACGGTTTTCTTTTACCTTACGCAACACAGAACGGACATGGTCCGGATTTTCCAGAATAATACGAATAGGACGCGGTAGGGACCTATTGGGATCAAATTTGCCTAGTCGATTACACTTAAGGACAGTTGTAGTTGGTTCATCCATATTTCCGAATTCGGCCAAAAATTCTTTCACGTAATCTAAGTCCTTAGAGATCTTTACTGCGGACTGCAATGTGGATGATTGCTCAGGAATACCATAAAATATCAAATTAGATTTACGAATCTGACGATCAGTCACTTCTTGAACAATTTCTTCGTAGTTGGTATCAGCGGGGACATAATTTCGCTTCCAGTAGTTGTTTTTGTAGAGTTTTTACCGAGTCTGATAACTTATCAATCAGTAACTTAAGTTGAGGAATAATTTCACAGCACTTGCAAGGAGATGCGGTGTTTGATTTTACAAGATTTCTGCAAGTATGACACTTCCATTCAAGACCGGTTATAGATTTAAAATTGTCGTATTGGCCCTTAGATATGTCTACACATTTAATGTGATAACACACACCACACTGCGTACATTTTAGTCCTGGGACTGTGGGAGTTATGAAATTATCGCACGTAATGGGAATTCGAAAACAAATGCAAGAATTGGAAAAGGGACTTGCTTACAAAAAACTCTGTAGGAAAAATTTAAACTTAGCCCCGCCCACCCACCCCTTCTTTCGTTTTTTTTTTGTTTTGAAATCAGCAATAAACCTTGTAGCAAATGCTTGGTAAAAATTACGATTAGCGTTTTCTTCTTTTTTTTAACAGTCTTGCCCCGCCCACCCACCCTGCCTCCATTTTAGAGATTAATTTTACCTGGTCTGATTGAAAGGTGGGTCTTATACTCAACAGAAATAAAATCGCCAATGAGAAAAGCTCGAGAGGGTGGAGCTAATACATGATAACAAACGATTGATTTTTGCTAATAGACATACCCCCTAAATAAATAAAGGGTGGGTGGGTCTAGTATTCGTTGAGATATGACGGATTCTAGCAAATGACATATCTTCTAAGAAAATAAACGGTAGGTGGGCGGGGCTAGTAATTGTAAGTAAGACTAATTGTGGCAAATGAGGTACCCTTTACGAAAATAAAGAGTGTATGGGCGGGACTAAAACTTGATAAGATAAGACTGAACAATAGTAAGAGTGGTGACTGGAATGAAGAGAGGGTGGATGGGTGGGGCTATTGCTTGCCTATAAAAGACTCTCTAGGAAAAATTTAACTTAGCCCCGCCCACCTACCCATTCTGTCATTTTTTTCTTTTGAAATAAGGAATAAATCTTGTAGCAAATACAAGAGAGAGAAAAGAGCATCAAAAGACAAAGCAAATAACAAAGAAGGGAAAATATTGAGGAAGATAATAGAAGAAATGGGTTGAGAAATTTTGAGGGGGCTAGAGGAGAGTCAATTATAGACTACGGGATTGTCAACGAAGAGGCGTGGGAAGAAATAGAGAGTTTCAAAGTGGGGAAAAGGGTAGAATTAGAACACAGGCCACTAGAAATAAAAATCAAAGGAAAGGAGCAAGAGTACGAAAAACAAGAGAGAAGAAACTAAAGAAATGAAATAGAAATATGAATATGGGATGAAGAGGTAATTCAAAGATACAGAAGTAGACTAAAAAAAGAAATTCAAAGTAAAAGAAGATATAGAAGCTATGATAGCAGAATGTTGGAAAGAATTAAGGAAGGCGGGGGGAAACAGAACAAAACAGAAAAGTATTATGAAGGAAAGGGATATGCATGTGAAGAAATAGAGAGAATAAGAGAAATGGGAACGAGTATGAAAGAAAAACTGGGCTTTTATTTAGTTATTTTTTTTTTTAATATACGAAATCTTCTTTTCGCAACAAAAAACTAAAAACAAATTTAATTATCGTGTTGCTCAAAGAAAACTATGTAACTAAAAAAGTTCCTATCTCAATTGTGATAAATTTTTGATTCGTTGTCAGACTGAGGGGCAGAGCGTAACAATTGCACAATACACATTTCCCTACAAAAATTTTGAACATGTTTTAAGTTTCTTGTTGTGAAAAAAAGATTATGTATATTAAGAAGAAAGGGCAAAATATATGCCCCGCCCACCCACCCTATCGCAATTGTAATGATTTTTTTTATTCGTTGTCAGACCGTGGGGCGGAACGTAATAACTGCAAAATACAGATTTTCTTACAAAAATTTTGAACATGTTTTAAATTTTTTGTTGTAAAAAGAAGACTACGTATATTAAGAAACAAGGGAAAATATAAGCCCCACCCACCCACCCTATCTCAATTGTAATGATTATTTTTATTCGTTGACAGACCGAGAAGCGGAGTTTGATTGCAAAATCCATATTTCTCCACAAAATTTTACTCTTAGTTTTAAGAACATATTTCCTATGGTAATTTCTTGTGGAAAAATGAGGATTTAGCAACTAAGCTTCGCTGTCGGCTCACGATGAATAAAAAAATTATCACAAGTAAGAGGGGGTGGGTGGGCGGGGTATATATTTTGTACAATTTTCCTTAATATACGAAGTCTTTTTTTCCCAACAAGAAACTAAAAACATGTTGAACTATTGTGTTGTTCACAGAAAGCTATATATTTATATTAAAAATAGAAGAAAACAAAAATTAAGCACGACCCACCTACAAAATTCGGAAATCGAAAAACAAAGACGTGAGATGTTAAAAGATAATGGAAGAATCTAAAAGTGAATTTTCGTCACCGCCTACTTCTGTTAGTCTTGAAAAAGTTAGTAAAAATGGAAAAAAGAAATGGCGAATAGTTATTGATTATAGATTACTTCATCATTAAATTGTAGACGATAAATTTCCCTTATCAGACATTACAGACATTTTACGTTCATTATCGGGAGTTGGGAGCGATATATTTTCTCACTTAGATTTCAGTCAGAGATACTGACAGGTAAATTTAGATGTACAAAGTCGTCTTATACAATATTTACTACAAACCAAGGACAATTTCAAATTAAACAGTTCCCGATTTGCTTAAAGAGCTGCATCTTTGTAGCAAAGATATAGACAAATGAGGATTTTGGCAACTAAGCTACGCCCCTTGACTCACGATGAAAAAAAAAATCGTCACAATTGAGAAGGGGTGGGTGGGCGGGGCTTTTATTTCGTACGTTTCTTTAATATACGAAATCTTCTTTTCGCAACAAGAAACTAAATACATATTTAACCATCATGTTGTTCAAAGAAAACTATATGTAACTAAAAAAAAGTCCCGATCTCAATTGTGATGAATTTTTTATTCGTTATCAGACCGAGGGTCGGAGCGTAACAATTGCATAATACACATTTCCCTACAAAAATTTTGAACAAGTTTTAAGTTTCTTGTTGCGAAAAAAAGATTGTGTATATTAAGAAGACAGGACAAAATATATGCCCCACCCACCCACCCTATCGCAATTGTAATGATTTTTTTTATTCATTGTCAGACCGAGGGGCGGAACGTAATAACTGCAAAATACATATTTTCTTACAAAAAATTCAAATATGTTTTAAATTTCTTGTTGTGAAAAGAAGACTACGTATATTAAGAACAAAAGGCAAAATATAAGCCCGCCCACCCGCCCTATGTCTATTGTGATGATTTTTTTTTATATTCGTGTTTTAGTTTCTAAAAATAAGAAAAATCATCACAATTGAGATGGGGTGGGTGGGCGGGGTTTATATTTTGATTTGAACTAACTGGTGGCTATTTTCAACAAGATAACGCTACAGTCCATTCTGCACATGTAACGTAAAATTATCTGCAACGATTTTTTGATGACAATAATAAGCACATAAACAGGATATTCTATGGCCAGCGGGTTCATCCGATTTAACTTCTCTCGTTTTCTCTGTGTCTGGATATCTGAAGAAGTCAGTTTTTTGATCGTAGAATGGAGAATGTGGATGAACTAATGGAGGAAATTACGAAATCTGTACTGGATTAACATAAATCAAGGAATGCATCAGATTAGATGGAAACAGTAGACAAATTAAGTAGACGACACACTAAATTGATTTTTAGATTTCTCAAGTTTAATTGCTTTCTTCCCCATGTGAAAATCAAAAGAAATTGGTACCGAAATGAGATACTTAAATGCAGAAAGTTGATTTCGCAACGGTTTTTTTGTAACACAATAGCAACTTTCTGCTAAATATTTCACTTGTTGATTTATTACCAAACTAACATAATTACGTGCCTTTATTTCACTATTGAAAATAAGTTTTCCGTGTTACGTACCTGAAATTTTCTGCAAATATTAATAAAATAAATTAAAAATCCAATAAAACGTTTTTAGCCACCTAATGAATCAACCGACCTTACTTAATATAACCAAAATTATCCCAATGAAACAGTTGCTTAATACATAAAGAACTGCTCTTCCCATTAGCATTAATTTAAACTTTAAGTAACATCTCATTACGTTACACAAAAATTACCTTTTTTAAAAATTCTAAATTTTGATATCCTTCTCTCTTAATTAATTTCATTTGTGGTATTATTCCACGACTGTCTCTTTCTCAAGCACTACCGTAATTTCCTAATGATGAATTAAAAATGATGTATTTGCCTAACCGTGACGGTTTCCCTTGCATTTGGCTAAATAATACAACCCACCCCACTTTCAACCACTCATAACTATAAATACGGTTACAACCTCTTCGACAGACATCACAAACCCAAACAAACCACAATCAACATGTTCGCTCTATTCGCATTATCGCTAGTTTGCTTCCAAGCTTACTATGTATCGTGTGAAGAATATTTTGTGCCAGAGAACATCAGCGTAGATGAAATCATCAAGAACGACCGTCTAACGAGAAACTATTTGGACTGCGTTCTGGAAAAGGGTAAATGCACGTCGGAGGGAGAGCAACTGAAAAGTAAGTACATTTTTCGTTTTAGTCGTATTCCGAATTTGTGGTTATTTCAGAGGCGATCCCCGAGATTCTACAAAATCGGTGCTCCAAGTGCAGCGAAAAGCATAAGGCGGCTGTAAAGAAAGTGCTTCACCACTTGATTGAGAAGAAGCCAGAATGGTGGAAGGAAGTTGAGGGTAAATTTGACCCACAAGGCGACTATAAGAAAAAGTACGACGACTACTTGGCGAAAGAAGGATTGGTTTATTAGTTGGTTTGTGTTGTATATTTGTTATATCCTTGCACTAGTCTACCAGTCACGTTATTTCCATGTAAAAAACGATGTTTATGATAATTATTTACACAATACAATGTAGTTCCAAATCAATAAAACGTTCATAAGTTAGTGTGTCGTTTTGTTTTGAAGACGCTATCCTCAAAGTGCATTTAGACCCATAAACTCCACCACCCCCCATCTCTCTTCATTAATTACCATCGTTAATCGTTCTAACACGCTAATTGAAATTATTCTCAGTTTCCATCGCTATAATCAGTCGTAATGCACTGGTAATTCGTCGCGGTACCGGCATACATCAGAGCTCCCAATTTGAATGTCACACATCCGAGTAAGGGACGGATGGGTGGAATGGGGAGAGAAACATGGGGATGGGTCGTGTACCTAATACACGAAACGTTTCAATCAAGTTATTATGCAATTTGAACTATTTAATTCCCGCACAGAGGTACCCGAGTTGCTTCGGATCAAAGCGACAACCAAAAGTTTCGAATATTGGTTGTAATAGTTGTTTTCATTTAAGAATATTCCCTTCTGAGTACCAAACTAATCGGTCTTTATATTATTTAGATAATAGCTATTTAATTGTTTCCTTATTTATCGCAATATTACAATTTCTTTTGTTTTTATATGTCTGCAAATATTTTATTTCCCTTGCATCAACCACCATATTTTATTTCTCTAGTGCATGGCCAACATGTGATTCTCCTACTTTGCTTTTTGTTTCTTTTATTATCTCATCCATCACAAGTGTAAATAATGTAGGACTCTGGACTCCTCCTTGTCTCAACGCATCCTTCGTGCCAAACTCTTCAGATTCCATATTGTTTGTTCTGGGTAATTTCTGGTATTTTTATACAGAATTTTGACTTTTATGTGCCTCTTGTTTTAAGAGTTTGTCATAGTTTTTCTTGTCGTACTATATCAAACGTCTTTTGTCTCAATTTTTAGGAACTTCTCCTTTTTCACATGCAATATTTATAATTTCTGGATTTCATTGACTACTTTGCAAAAATTGGATAGACTATACATGCAAAACGCACTAAAATATATCGACTTTCCCTGTGGAAGTATTCGTTTATTCAAAATTGACGTATTCCATTTTGGGCGACTTTACTCTATATTGCAAAAAAAAATTGTTTATTCAGTATATCGTCAGTAACAAGAGCATTGAAATTCCCCTTTAAATACAACGAATATAGTGGATTTTATTGATTACTTTGCTAAATTTTGTTAAACTATACATGTTTAGACAATTTTTCCTCAAAACGCACTAAAATACACAACTTTCCGTACGGAAATATTCGTCTATTCAAAATTGACGTATTCCACTTTAGGTGACTTTACTATGTATTACAAAATAAAAAAAAAATGTTTTTTCAGTATATCGTCCAGTAACAAAAACATTGAAATTCCCTCTAAACACACCGAATATAGAGTGGATTTCATTGACTACTTTGCAAAATTCGGGTAGACTATACATGTTTAGACAATTTTTAATCAAAACGTACTAAAATATATCGACTTTCCATATGGAAGTATTCGTTTATTCAAAATTGACATTTACCATTTTGGGCGACTTTACTCTATTTTGCGAAATAAAAATTTGTTTTTTCAGTATATCGTCCAGTAACAAAAGCATTGAAATTCCCCTTTAAATACAACGGATAGAGTGGATTTTATTGACTACTTTGCCGAATTTTGTTAATTTATGTATCTTTAGACAATTTTGCTCAAAACGCACTAAAATACACAACTTTCCCTACGGAAGTATTCGTCTATTCAAAATTGACGTATTCCACTTTAGGTGGCTTTACTCTCTATTACAAAATAAAAAAGAATGTTTTTCAGTATATCGTACATATTGAAATTCCCTTTAAACACAGCAGATATATAGTGGATTTCATTGACTACTTTGTAAAATTTGGCTAAATTATACATGTTTAGACAATTTTTACTCAAAACGCACTAAAATAGATCGACTTTCACAATGTAAGTATTCGTTTATTCAAAATTGACATATTCCATTTTGGGAGACTTTACTCTATGCTGCAAAATAAAAATTTGTTTTTTAAGTATATCGTCCAGTAACAAAAGCATTGAAATTCCCCTTTAAATACAACGAATGTAGTGGATTTTATTGACTACTTTGCCAAATTTTGTTAAACTATATATCTTTAGATAATTTTTCCTCAAAACGCACTAAAATATACAACAAATATTCGTCTATTCAAAATTGACGTATTCCTCTTTAGGTGACTTTACTCTATATTACAAAATAAAAAAACATGTTTTTTCAGTATATCGTGCAGTAACAAAAACATTGAAATTTCCTTTAAACACAGCGAATATATAGTGGATTTCATTGATTACTTTACAAAATTTGGATAGACTATACATATTTAGACAATTTTTACTCAAAACGCATTAAAATATATCGACTTTCCCTATGGAAATATTCGTTTATTCAAAATTGACGTATTCCACTTTAGGTGATTTTACTCTAGAATACAAAATAAAAAAATAATGTTCTTTCAGTATATCGTCCAGTAACAAAAACATTGAAATTCTCTTTAACACAGCGAATATATATTGTGGATTTCATTGACTACTTCGCAAAATTTGGATAGACTATACATGTTTAGACAATTTTTAATCAAAACGCAGTAAAATATATCGACTTTCCATATGGAAGTATTCGTTTATTCAAAATTGACCTATTCCATTTTGGGCGACTTTACTCTATATTGCAAAATAAAAATTTGTTTTTTCAGTATATCGTCCAGTAACAAAAGCATTGAAATTCCCCTTTAAATACAACGAATATAGTGGATTTTATTGATTACTTTGCCAAATCTTATTAAACTGTATATCTTTAGACAATTTTTCCTCAAAAGGCATTAAAATACACAACTTTCCGTACGGAGATACTGGTCTATTCAAAATTGACGTATTCCACTTTAGGTGACTTTACTCTATATTACAAAATAAAAAAAAAATGTTTTTTCAGTATATCGTCCAGTAACAAAAACATTGAAATTCCCTTTAAATACAACGAATATAGTGGATTTTATTGACTACTTTGCCAAATTTTGTTAAACTATATATCTTTAGACAATTTTTGCTCAAAACGAGCTAAAATACACAACTTTCCGTACGGAAATATTCGTCTATTCAAAATTAACGTATTCCACTTTAGGTGACATTACCCTATATTACAAATTTAAAAAAAAAATATTTTCACTATATCGTCCAGTAACAAAAATATTGAAATTCCCTTTAAACACAGCGAGTATATAGTAGATTTCATTGACTACTTTACAAAATTTGAGTAGATTATACATGTTTAGACAATTTTTACTCAAAATGCACTAAAATATATCGACTTTCCCAATGGAAGTATTCGTTTATTCAAAATTGACATATTGCATTTCGGGCGATTTTACTCTATATTGCAAAATAAAAATGTTGTTTTTTCAGTATATCGTCCAGTAACAAAACTATTGAAATTCCTCTTTAAATACAACGAATATAGTGGATTTTATTGACTACTTTGCCAAATTTGGGTAAACTATAGATGTTTAGACAATTTTTAATCAAAACGTACTAAAATATATCGACTTTCCGTATGGAAGTATTCGTTTATTCAAAATTGACGTATTTGATTTTGGGCGACTTTACCCTATACTGCAAAATAAAAAAATGTTTTTTCAGTATATCGTCCAGTAACAAAAACATTGAAATTCCCTTTAAACATAGCAAATATATAGTGGATTTCATTGACTAGTTTGTAAAATTTGGATAGACTATACATGTTTAGACAATTTTTAATCAAAACGCACTAAAATATAGCGACTTTCCGTATGGAAGTATTCGTTTATTCAAAATTGACGTATTTGATGTTGGGCGACTTTACCCTATACTGCAAAATAAAAAATTGTTTTTTCAATGTATCGTCCAGTAACAAAAGCATTGAAATTCCCCTTTAAATACAACGAATATAGTGGATTTTATTGACTACTTTGCCAAATTTTGTTAAACCATATATCTTTAGACAATTTTTTCTCAAAACGCACTAAAATACACAACTTTCCGTATAGAAGTTTTCGTCTATTCAAAATTGACATATTCCACTTTAGGTGACTTTCCTCTATATTACAAAACAAAATTAAATGTTTTTTCAGTATATCGTCCAGTAACAAAAACATTGAAATTTCCTCTAAACACAGCGAATATATAGTGGATTTCATTGACTACTTTGCAAAATTTGGACAGACTATACATGTTTAGACAATTTTTAATCAAGACGCACTAAAATACATCGACTGTCCCTATGGAAGTATTCGTTTATTCAAAATTGGCGTATTCCATTTTGGGCGACTTTACTCTATACTGCAAAATAAAAATTTGTTTTTTCAGTATATGGTCCAGTAACAAAAGCATTAAAATTCCCTTTTAAATACAACGAATATAGTGGATTTTATTGACTACTTTGTCAAATTTCGTTAAACTATATATATTTAGACAATTTTTCCTCAAAACGCACTAAAATACACGACTTTCCGTACGGAAATATTCGTCTATTCAAAATTGACGTATTCCACTTTAGGTGACTTTACTCTATATTACAAAATAAAAAAAAATGTTTTTTCGGTATATCGTCCAGTAACAAAAACATTGAAATTCCCTTTAAACACAGCGAATATATAGTGGATTTCATTGACTACTTTGCAAAATTTGGGTGGACTATACATGTTTAGACAATTTTTAATCAAAACGCACTAAAATATATCGATTTTCCCAATGGAAGTATTCGTTTATTCAAAATTGACGTATTCTATTTTGGGTGACTTTACTCTATACTGCAAAATAAAAAGTTGTTTTTCCTCATCTGATTTATAATCACCTCTATATCTTCTTGTTGGCACTGCTATACTTTCATTACTTAAAGTTCTTTTTTTTGGTACTTGTTTTTGCTCTTCTCTCTGACTTCCTCTGATTTAGCTATTTAATATTTGTTCGAAGTAGGTACTGTTTCCATCCTCTTAATTTTCCTTCATCGTCGCCTATTAAGTT